TTTAGTATTGTCCCAGAGGTCTCTGAGATTGTATTCAATTCTTTTCATTCTTTTTTCTTTATTTCTGCTCCTTGACAGTTATTCCGCCATTTTGTCTTCTAGCTCATTTATTCATTCTTCTGCCTCAGTTACTCTGTTATTGATTCCTTCTAGTGTATTTTTATTTTTCATTTCAGTTATTGTGTTTTTCATCTCTGTTTGTTCTTTAGTTCTTCTAGATCTTTGTTAAGGATTTCTTGTATTTTCTCAATCCATGCCTCCATTCTATTTCCAAGATTCTGGATCATCTTTACTATCATTACTCTGAATTCTTTTTCAGGTAGATTGTCTATTTCCTCTTCATTTATTTGGCTTTGTAGGTTTTTACCTTGCTCCTTCATCTGTGACATATTTTTTTGCTGTCTCTCTCTCTCTCTCTTTTTTTTTTTTAATGAATGGGATTGTGTTCCTGTCTTACTGGTTGTTTGGCCTGAGGCTTCCAACACTGGAGTTTGTAGGCTATTGGGTGGAGCTGGGTCTTGGTGCTGAGATGAGGAACTCTGTGATATCTCACTCTGATGAATATCCCCTGGGGTTTGAGGCTCTCTGTTAGTCCAGTGGTTCGGACTCGGAGCTCCCACCACGGGAGCTTCAGCCCGACCCCGGGCTCGTGAACCAAGACCCCACAAGCCACGTGGGGTGGCAAAAAAACAAAACCAAAGTAAAAAAGTAAGATTAGACTAGGAAACTAACAGATATGTTAGAAAGAATAGAAAAATAAAAATATAGATGAATCAACAACCGAAAGGTATGTCAGTATCACAACAGTAAAAAAGAGGAGGGAAAAGAAAAAACAAACGGGGGGAAAGGCCTTGGCTGTGGAGAGCGGGACCTAAGCAAGGGCGAGGTTTAGGCGGTGGGTGGGGCCTATGCTCAGGACCCACAGGGCAGGAGAAGGCCCTGGGGGCTGTGGAAGGTGGGGCTTAGGCTCAAGGAACAGAAGGGGCCCAGGCGAGTCCCCTACCCCTGGTCTCAGGGGGCGGGGGACCTCACCTGGGAGCCCAGCAGGCTTCCTGAGCTCTAGTGGGCGGGGCAAACGCCCTCCTGTCCTCTCCTGCTCCTCTGGTCTTGGAGGGCCCCTCCCGCCTGCCTCTCCTGATCTCCCTGGCCTCCCTCTTACGCCCCCAAGGACCCACGTGGCCTGGAGGGGGCTTTGGACGGCAGGGGATCAGTGCGGGAGCTCAGCAGGCTCCTCAGGCCCGCGTGGGCAGGGCAGTCGCCCTCTGCTCCTTCTGGAGAGTCCCTCCCACCTGCCTCTCCTGATCTCCCCAGCCTCAGGGGCGCCTATCCTCTCTGGCCTCCACTTCTCCTCCCCCCTTCAGTCCCCCTACATCCTACCGGTTCACTATGGGGTTCCTCCCATCTCCTTGGGTGTCAGAATCCCCCACCAGCGGCCGGCAGGAACCCTAGTTGTGGGGAGAAGCCAACTCCTCGTCTTCCCACAATGCCATCTTGACTCTCCCTCCTGCACTATTGTTTCTGACTGCTCCTCCCTTGTCTCTGCATCCCCTCTCTACCCTGATTAGCAACCGTTTGAACCTACCCTTTGGAACTCAGGGAAGGTCATGGAGGCTGAACAGAACAGTTCCCGTGCCCAGGAGCCCCACAGGGTCCTGCTTGTTTCAGTAGTATGTGGTCAGAAATGCTCGAATCCTTCTCCCTGAGATTCCTCACTAAGATTTATCCGTGGAGGAAAGTGCAAAGCCAGCAAAGAGCAACTTTATTGTTAGTTGGGGTTTCGCTTCAAATCTCGAAGTAGAGCTCATGAGGCCCTTGGGGACTCCTTTTTTCTGTATTAGGTAAGCCTAAGGACAGTTAAAACATACTCAAAACTAATTCTTGGCTCCTATAGGTTAACATATCAGGGAACCCAGAAGGAAATACAAAACCAAGAGGAGAGAGAGAACTTGTCCTAGGGCTTGGAGTGGAGCTGGTCCAGACCATTCATGCCCAACCTTCTTAGGGTGAGGCCACGGCCCCCCATCAGCCTCCTGGGAGAGGGAGAGAAAGAGAAAGATGGTGGTGCAGCTTTTAAAGGCTGTGAAGGCTCCACACACCAAGGCTAGGCCAATCAGTGTCTTGGACTCTGACCAACCAGATAGGTTCTCCTCCTTTGAGCTGAGTAGGGGAGTGAGAGAAGCCTTGAGCTCCCCCTTCAGGCCAATACCAGTGGTGAACAGGTGTTTCTTTTTAGGCAGATTTGAGACACTCATTTCTCGACTTTAAGGTGAATTCTCAAAGGCCAGGGAAGTGTTTTATGGCACAGAGCACTGGGACTATTTCCGGGAACCAGATGTATTTTCTGCATCTCATTGCCTAGGAAAGGAAACATGGCTGGTTAAGCCATCAACGGGGAGCCTTTAGTTTCCTTTTTTGATTTCCAAAAAATGGTTACTAGGGTAGCAGCTCAGTCCTCGAGCAGGACAAGGGGGTCCTGGGGTCCTTCTGCATCCTGGGAGCCCTGCAGGGTCCCACAGCCAGAGCAGAGCTGACCCAGCCTCTAAAACTTGGCGGTTCAGAGCTGTGCAAGGGCCAACACTTCATCTGCCTGACCGCAGAGGCTTGGAATGTCATGAAAGAAACTTTGTAGCTCATTAAGAAGATGCAGGCCAGCAAAAGCCTTCAGGGATGGACAGGGTTTTAGGCAGAGGCTTACTGAGACAGAGTTTTCATGCAGCAAAATTCACTTTCTTTACATATAGTAAAATTCACTGCAGTTGATATATAGCACATTCCAGTCAGCCCGTAAAAGTTCCCACATGCTGTCCCTTTGTTGTCAATCCCCTTTCCACCCCCAATCCTTCTTAACCACTGATCTGTTTTCTGTCCCCATAGTTTTGCCTTTTCTAGGATGTCATTTAAGTGGAATCATATAGCGTGTAGCCTTTGATTTAAACAGAATCCAACAGCATGTGTTTGACAGCTTTATCTTACCCAAATTCTTCTGAGATTCATGAATGTTACCTGTATCAGTAGTTCATTCCTTCTTACTGCTGAGAAGTATTCCATTGTGTGGACGTACCACACTTTGTTTATCCGTTGAATGTTGAATACTTGGTTGGTTCCAGACTTTGGCTATTGTAAGTAAAGTAGCTATAAACTTTCAGGTTTTTCTGTGGATAGATGTATTCCTTTCACACCTAGGAGTGGGACTACTGGGTCATATATTATAAGGGTATGTTTATAAGAAAGTGCCACACAGTTTTCCAAAGAGGTGCTACCACTTTGCATTCTCCCCAGCGTCGTAGGAGAGTTCCAATAGTGTTCTCTCCACATCAGCACTTGGTATCGTCAGTATCAATTTTCTAAAATTGTAGCCATTCTGGAAGATATAAGGATTATTTTTAAATTTTGTAAATAACAGTTTCCTAAGGAGAAATACTCATCATTTTAATAGCACATAAAATAATTTCTACTTATTCTGTCCATTTATTTGCTCACTTGTTCATTTCCTGTCTCTGTTAGAATATGTTTTTAAAAGGCACCTGCATCAATAAATAAATGTGAATGGATGAATGAATGAATGAGTGAATGAATTAGGAGATGGGTAGCATATAGCAAAGGCTAGAACATCAGATCAGCCCTGGGTTGGAACCTAGGGCCCATGATTTTAACTTTTCTCTTTCACAGAGAAGGCAGCTTTCAGGCTGGGATGGGAAAGAGAAGAAGGAACTTTTTGGTTAGAGTAGCTCTTGAAGGAGAAAGACATCATGCAGAGCCAGAGAATCATGAAGGGCATGGCATATTTGGGAGTACGAGCAAGTCCTGTGTACTGAAAACACAGTGTGTGTTTGAGGTCATAGTTGGGATCACATGGGGGATCTAGTAATAATAATGCAAAAGCTTATACTCCTTACTGTGTGCCAGGCTGTTCTAAGATCTCTACATAGGTTAATTCATTTATTCTTCCCAATGGTCATATAGCTTATATCATTCTTTCCATCATACAGACAAGGAAAATGAAGCACAAAGAAATTAAATAACTTGCCCCAAATTATGCATCAAAGAAGAGCCCAGGCAGTTTGGACCTTCAACTACTGCATTACATTGCCAGGTTAGGAAGGGCATGTTAGTTAGTTAAGGAATGGTGTAAGCTGCTGTAACAAATAGCCCCCAAATATAGTGACTTGAACAAGACAGAAGGTAGGTTTTCTCTCAGATGTCTGTCCAGAAGTACAAAGTCCAGGGCTGGTGGGTCCAAGTTTGGGTCCAAGGTGGTCACTTCCACTTCTCACCATCTTCCAGACAATGGGAAGGGAAAAAGGGGCCCTAGAGGCTGTACACCTTCCTCTTAAAGGAATGACTGAAACACGTACATCCCATTGGCCAGAACTCAATCACATGGACACACCAAGCTGCAAGGGAGACTGGGAAATGTGGTCTATAGTTGGGCAGCCACGGTCTCTGCTAAGACTCAAGGGTTCTGTTATTGAAAGGAAGAATGGGTATTGGTGGAAAGCCAGTAGTCTCTGCCACAACCTGTAGACGATTCATTGGACTTTGAACTCTGTCCCGTAGATGATGAGGTCCTGTTGGGGAGGTTTCATGCCCAGACTTGGGTTTTAGATCATCCAGAAGTTGCTTGGCTGATAAAGGAGAGAAAAGTAGGAGCAAGGCGACCTGTTTACCTGATCTGTCTGGTGTTTTGTTTGCCATCTGTGGAGTCCTTGCTGCAGATAAGAGTCAGTAGGTTGGGTTCCCAGATGGAGGACTTGCAGGCACAGTGAGTGTGCTGGGGCAGGATGGGAGCCATCAGCTGTCTTAGGCATTCATTCATTCAGTGGTTACTTATCAAGCACCATGTTTGGGCACAGAGCTCCAGTGATGGTCCCAGCAAGTATGATGAATGCTGGGGGCCAAGTTCAGTTCTCTAGGAGTTCTCCAGGGATGCACAGTGCAGTGGGAAACTGGGGCATGCCACACTGATGCCAACCTCTTTTGTTTGTTTCTTTTGACCTTAGGACCCCCGGAGCAAACACAAGTTCAAGATCCACACGTACTCCAGCCCCACGTTTTGTGACCACTGTGGGTCGCTGCTGTATGGACTCATCCACCAGGGGATGAAATGTGACAGTAAGTACGTTTGCTCTCTGGCAGCCTCTGCTGACTGGGCTGCTTCCTCATGGTCTACAAAACATTCTCCCAAGTCCTGGGTGGCCTGGGTACCACTTGTTTGTTGCTGAGTAACAATAACCATTTATAGAGCTCATGATTCTGCAAGGCTGTCCTTTAGGTCTGGGCTGGGCTTACTCATGCCTACGTGGTGGGTTAGCAGGTTGGTGAGGGGCTGTCTGGGCCTGGAGGGCCTCACCCACCTGTCTGCAAGGATGGCTGGCTGTCACCTGGGTGATGGGAATGACGGGGGTTGGGGGACCACATGTCTTCCGTCCTGAGCAGGCTAGCCTGGGCTTGCTCACACGGAGGTCCCAAGTGCTTTAAGAGGGCAAGTCCCACTGATCAAAGCAAGTCACATGGCAAGGTTCACAGTCTGTGTGGGAGGGGACAGTCCACAGGTGTGGACACAGGGAGGCGTGGTCAAATCGGGGCCATTCCTGCAGCCACGCACACAGCTGTTGCCAGCACCGATATGCGGGGCTGATGCCTTTCTCTGCAGAGAGAAAATCTGCCTCCCTTTAGCACCTACAGTTTATGCTAGAAGGGGGGCGGGCATGTGATTCTCTGACCAGGCTGGGGTGGGAAGAGGCAGGAGCGGGCAGGACTTCTCTTTATTAAGTGAAGGACTGAATGGCCCGAGGGGTGGGGGAGCCAGCAGGCTTTGAGAGCTGCAGCTGCAAAGGGGACGGGGTGGAGATGGGGGGCTCAGTGCTGCTGGCTCCCAGAGGCCTGTTGACCCCCGCATATTGAGCAGTCATGAGGCCGGACTGTCCCTGTCACAGGGGTCCTGAGGCCCAGAGGACAGAGAGAGAAACTCTCAAGGGCAGAGAGTGACATAGAGGAGTATGGGTGTGGATGGGGAGGAAGGGGGCAAGAGACAGAGAGAAACACACAATCACAGACAGGGACGGATTCAGGGGGCAAATGACACGTGCGCCCAGGTGTAGGGAGCGATGGCTGAGGCTACAGAGGGGCCCAGCTAGAGAGAGACTCAAGCAGGAGGGACACACAGACGAACCAACAGACACAATGATTGGAAGTGACACAGAGAGAGATGCCCTCAGTCAGGCTCCTGCAGAGATACTGAGATGGAGAGAGAGCAGAGACAGGCAGAAACACACACGTGGAGAGACACAGAAAGAGATGGAGACAAAGAGGTGTGACACAGGCCCAGAGCATGAAACAGACCTATTCACAGATGCAGCCGAGGCAGCGAGGACACATGCTGAAGCAGAGGAGCAGAGACCAGGAAAGAGACGTACACCCATATGGGTACCGAGAGGCAGACAGAAACAAACAGGGCAAGAGCCACAGAGACACGCATGGTGAATGGGGCTCCCAGGCAGACACATAACAGAGGCGGGGAGAGAGTGGCGCAGCTGCCTTCTGCTTGTGGGACACTGATTCCTCTTAGCGCACGTGGGGCCCCAGGTGGGCCTCAAGGACAGAGAGGGGTGGGTGGGAGGCAGCTTGGGCTGACGCAGAGCCCTGAACGTGGGCACTCAGGTTCCAGGGGGCTCTCCCTTCCTCCCCATCATCCTTTTCTCCCCACGATTCATTTCCAGTTTTGTAATCTGCCTGCTGCCTCCTGGAGCTTGGGCGGGCTGAGAAGGGGGTGTCCTGAGCACCCCCTGCCCCTGGGGATGCCGTGCCCCCAGTTCCCCAGGGAATCTCCTGAAATGCAGGCCCCATGGGGTGATCTAGACTCTCCTCCTGGCTTCTCAAACTGGAACGAGGGTCCTCTAGAGAACACTGGACTCCAGGCACACCTTCCTGGAGCAGCCGTGGGACTTAGGGGAAACCAGCCACCCACTGAAGGAAGCACAGATGTACTACAGGATTGTGGGAAGGGAGCCTGTATTTATCGTATCACATAAGAGACATGAAGGTCCGATTCAGTCGCAGACCTATTCCATTCGTCTTACCCTGCGTCTAATCCTTTTTCTTGCAGTTAGTTTCGGTGGACACTGTGCGGGCTTTGCTCAGGTCCCAGGATGATGCCCCTCCCAGGGGGTGGTTCCTGGCAGGTGCAAGGGTGCAGAGGCCTGGTCCTCTTGTATCCATTTGGGACAACTCTGAAGGGCCCCTGGAGGTCCAGAGCTCTCTTTACTGTCAGCCTCAGTGCATCCTCGTGGGCGAGCTCCTCCCTCCCAGGAGCCCTTGCGGTAAACCTGCTGGCTCACAACTCCCATTCTCAGACTCTTTCCACGGAAACCAACCTATGGGCCGTCAATATTTAAAAATCGGGAGATGTCACATACAAGTCAGGATTCCTGCTTAATCTTGAAAAACGGGGCGATCTCAGCAATTTGGGGCATGCACCCTGCATGGCTGCTCCTGAGTGGGGGCACTGCGCTCCCTGGCCGGTCAGGTCCCGCCACACCCGCAGCTTCTCTCGCTGCGTTACCTGCTGCCCCTGCCACTGAGCTTGGTGCCTCTGGCTTCGGAGCCGTCGGGGGTGCGCGAGGTGCCTCAGCCTTTCGGGAGGACGGACATGTTCCTCCTCCTTTGTCCATCAGGGCCTGGGGTGGGGGGCGGGAGCCGCGGGAGAGTTGGAGAAGCCCTTCTGATGAGACCCGGGCAGGGCGGGCACGGCTGGCTGGTCTCCGCCAGCTTCGGAGGGAAGGAGGGGAACAGGAGGGGTCCAGCCTGGACCAGCCTGAGCCGCGCACCCTCCCTCTGTCCCCGCAGCCTGCATGATGAACGTCCACAAGCGCTGCGTGATGAATGTCCCCAGCCTCTGCGGCACAGACCACACGGAGCGCCGCGGCCGCATCTACATCCAGGCCCACATCGAGAGGGAGGTCCTTATCGTTGTCGGTAGGTGGCGCTGGGCTCCCGCTCCGGTTCCGCTAGGTTCGGACCTGGCTGGACCGCTGAGTTAGGGGAGGGGAGGTTGGTGGAGGGATGGGCGGTGCAGGGGCGGGGCGAGAGGTGCGGTGACACACTGCCTTCCTCCCCTCTCCCCCCGCCGCCGGCCCCCATTACAGCCCATCCCCGCTGTAGGCATCCTTAGAGACTGCATCCCCGCAGGGTGAAGCTCTCAGCACCTCTGGTGCGCTGGAGCTTAGAGCTGGGACACCAGCAGTACATTACTTTTCTCGAAGACCTCAAAGGAGCCAGTAGAGCAGACAAAATGCTGAACACCTTAATTTTATGGCACTGTGCGTCCCTGGGGGCTTTCCATGTATTTGAAGTATTTCTTTCTTAAACCCGACGGCGGCCTCACTGGTCTCTGTTCTGTTATTCTCCCTATTTTTCGCACTTCTGAAATACTTCATAGTAATAAGAAAGAGGGATAATACAGCCTCTTATGAGAAGTGCAGCATGGTGCCTGTCCCTCCTAATGGAGCATTCACAACATGCTTGGCTCTGACGTGGGCAGCGCAAACAAAATGGAAACCTAGCTGTGCTGGATGGGTAACTGCTCATAGCCATAAAGCTACGGTCAATGCGGCACTGAACTGGACCAGAATGGGACTAAAACTTTGTTTTTTTTAATTTATCTTATTTTATTATTATTATTTTATTTTTAATATATTTTTTGGCCACGCCGTGCGGCATGTGGGATCCTAGTTCCCTGACCAGGGACCAAACCCTCACCCCCTGCATTGGAAGCACGGGGTCTCAATCCCTGGACTGCCAGGGAAGTCCCCAGAATGGGACTAGAACTTTGAAGGAATTCTCCCCCAGAGGCTTGTGTCAAACTTCTTAGAATTTACAATTTGTTAATTTAAACAAGGTTTTTTGACTTGATATCTTAGGAAATTGATCATAGAAGGGATTGATTTTGCAAAAATTGGTCTGAGGCCCTGGAATGGTTCAGCAGCTCTGAAGCACTGAGCCTACACCACATAAAAGTTGAAAGATAGCCCTGTAAAATGTAATCCCTGTTTTAAACTGAGGTTCATGACACCCAGTGGGCTCTTACGGAACATGTATTCCGTTGAATTGTTTTTTCCTCTGAAAGGAAGGCAATGGCTGACATGACTTCTTCCCAGTGAAATGCTTGAGGGTCCCCCAAGGAGGAAAAGCCTCACGAAAAGCTGGTTTCCCCACTGTCTAAGCTTCCTGGGCTGGAGGGGCAAAAATGAGACCCTGCTGCCCTCTACTGTTATTCTCTAGGAACTACACTGGCTCAGATGTTGCTAGGGCCAGCCAGCCTTCAATGCACAGCGCTCAAAACCAAACCACAGCATAATGCTCTCAAGGTCCATCCATTGTTCCCACCACAAAAAAGAAATAATTATTTGAGGTGATAGAGGTGTTAGCTAATGCCAGGGATGTAATCATATGGTAATATACAAATGTATCAAATCAACACATCCGTACACCTTAAACTTACACAGTGTTATATGTCAATGATATTTCAATTAAATAGAAAAGACTTACATGTTATCTCTTTCAGTGCTCAAAACAGCGTTGTGAAATATCTATTATACTTGTTTTATGAATGAAGATACTGAGGCTCAGAGAAGTTGTGCTTCTGAGAGCTCACACCATTTGTAGTCATCACCGTCATCCAGTCAGCTACATCAAAAGTAGCTAACATTTGAGTTTTTAAGTGTGTTCATCACTCTGCAAAGCACTTACGGCAATATCTTGTTTAAAAATTTTCAGTATCTCTAATGAGCTAAGTAGTAGTATCGTTCTCTCAGAAAACAGGCTTAGAGAGTCACACACGGCATCACCTAGGTCTGTTCACTATCGTGATATACTAGGTTACTTTTTGGTTTAGTTCCCTGCACTAACTCTCCCCCCAATACCTTATTTATTCCCTCCGTGGTTTAGCTGCATTACCTCTTATGTGTGTTTCCTGGGCACTTTGTTTCACGTGGTACAATACAACGTCTCTTCCAATTTGAGGTCAAAGTCTTCCCCCTCAATCACAGATACACTGTCTTATATCTTGATCACAAGCTGACGATTTTCAGGCAATCCCAATGAGGGTGTGGTATATTTGCTTCCTAGAGCTACTGTAACAAAGTACCACAAACTGAGTGGCTTCAAACAACAGATATTTATTCAGTCACAGTTCTGGAGGCTGGAGTCTAGAAGTCTGAAATCAAAGTGCGGGCAAAGTGGTCCCTTCAGGAGGGCTCTGAGGGAGAGTCAGTTCCATGCCTCTCTCTTAGTTTCTGGTAGTTGCCGTCAGTCTTTGGGGCTCCTTGGCTTGTGGCTGCGTCCCTCCAATCTCTGCTTCCATCATCACATGGCGTTCTTCCCTGTGTGTCTTGGCATCCAAATTTCCTCTTCTTCTAAGGACTCCAGGCATTGGATTAGGGCCACCCTAATCTGGTATGACCTCATCTTGACTTGGTTACATCTGCAAAGACCTTATCTCCAAACAAGGTCCCATTCATATGTATTGGGATTAGGACTTGAACACATCTTTTAGGGGATACAATTCAACCCATAGCAAGGGGAAGGAAGAAAAGTTAGGACTCCCTTAAAGTTAAGGACAGAATATCTGCATGTTCAGGGTTCTGCTAGCACTAACTGAATAGCTACCAATATACTAAGAGCACTTTGTGGTTTTCCAAGTGCTTTGGTACTGACTCATCCAATGGAGATAGTGATGTTGCCAACATACAGAAGGGGAAACTAAGACTCGGTGAGGTTGGACAACTTGCCTGATGTCTCGTGCAGAGCAGGATGAGCCCCTGGGCCTCCTGTCTGCAGGTCACTGTGCCCTGCTATTGCCTCCTCACCGTTCCAGGCACGGTCAGTACCTGGTGTGGGATCGTTGATTGACTGATGATAGAAGACCCTGATGCTTTGACTGCAGTTCTCTAAACACAGAGCCGAGATGGAGATTTTTGTTCAAGTGATTTACCGGGGCTGCTCATAAGATAAGGAGTGAGGATAGAGCAGGGAAAAGCTGAGTGAGAGTGTGGTCTCCATTGAAGACCAGCTATAGCTGGATCCCATGGAGTCCTGGACCACAGATTATAGCACAGGGTCAGTCCCTCCTCGAGGCAAGAGGGCTGTTCTGTTAGGGTGAGACACTGCTATGGGCTGAATTGTGTCCCCTTAAAATTCACATGTGGAAGCCCTAACCCAATGAAATGGTGTTTGGGGGTGGGGCCTTTGGGAGCTAATTAGAGTTAGATGAAGGTGGGGTTCTTATGATGGGCTTGGTGGCTTTATGGCCGCATGAGGGCACAGCAAGAAGGTGGCCACCTGCAAGCTAGGAAGAGGGCTCTCACCAGGAACCGAATTGGCCTGCACCTTGATATTGGACTTCCTGCCTCCAGAGCTGTGAGAAATAAACATCTGTTGTTTAAGTAACCCAGTCTGAGGTATTTTATTTCCGCAGCCTTGGCTGGCTAAGACGGTCAGTCTTTGCTCCAGGCTACTGGGATTGAAAGTGGGACGGTACCTCCCAGAATCCATGGCTTCTGTGAGACTGAGGGCAGCTATCTGGACATGGGGCAACTGTGAGCCATTAACAGCCAACACTCACGGTAGCCGGGAGCTGGGGGCCTTGGCCCGAGTGGAGGGGAGCTGGCAGGGTCTGGGTCTCCTGGGTATACTCTGATCTCCCAAGCATCCTTCTGGTTTCATTGTTGGGACTCCAGGCCCTCCTCCTTGATCTCAGCCAGACAGATCAGAGAGAAGAGAGCCCTTCCCAGCAGTGTGAGGCCAAACGTGACCTGTGGTGTTGAATTGCCCCACTTCATTCAGACCGTAGAGGCACGTCCAGTGTTGGTACTTGCCACATGCTCTTTGAAATCCCACTATCTCCAGAGGCACCAGGCTACCGGTGCTTCTGAAAGATCTGAAGGTTTCCTCATCTCTGGCTCATGAAATCCTGGCTTTATATCTGCTGTCAGGGGTCTTGCAGGTCAAACTCAGAAGGGAAATCCAATCAGTTCTCTTTCTTTAAAAAGCTCATCACAGGTTTCTCATTGCCCTTAGGACAGACTAACTGTGACATGGTAATCTCATTATCTATTCTCTGTCTCCTTGCTTTTCTTTAATCCTTCATCCCCTCCAGGCTGCCACCCACCATAGGACATCTGCATACTCTCTTCCTTCCATCTGGAGTGTTTGCCCTTTTGTCTTCTTTCAGCAGTTTACTCTTCCTCTTCCTGTAGGTCTCAGCTCATTCTTACAATCAGGGAAGCTTCCCTGGACCTCCCTTTGTTGTGGACATTCATGGTATCCTGAACTTGAACTTGTGTCAGTTGTGGTTTTATGTTGGGTTGATGAGTGTCTGCATCTCCCTCTGGGCTTTAAGCTTGGTGAGGGCAGGGCTGTGTCTGTCTTGACTCACCACTGTATCCCAGCACCTAGTGTGATGACATCACTAAATATTTGTGGAATCAGTGGATATATGTGTGAAGGAGATGCCACTAGAGGATCCTGATGGATACCAGAACTCACAGATGGTCCCCAAATCAGTGCCTTCCACAGTGAGGAGCTAAAGTTCAGCAGATAATCCAATTCACACCATCATCCTTAAAGAAGGAGGCCATGCAGAAAATTCCAAGGACCAGGTCCAAGGTCAACAGCAGGTATTACTGAGACTGGGACTCACCCTTTGGAGCCATAACTACCCTCATTCCCTGGATAATGTAGAAAAGACACAGAACAGTGGGACTTGTGGAATCACAGGAAATCATGTGGACATCATGATGCCCTGTGTTACCGTGGAGGGGAGGCAGTACAATCAGAAGCCCTGATCAAAGTTGTAAAATGCTCCTGGAGGTTATGAAGCCCATGTCCTTGTATATAAAATACCCCTTTTCAATTCAGTATCTCCCTATTAACATAGCAACTAATATCCCATTATTAACATTTCCATCTGCATTGCA